GCCATGCGATTTCTGTTCTCATCAAAGCAAAGTTCTTAACCTTAGGTACTATTTCTGGGTTAGCGGAGTCTGTAAACTGAAGCGTATGTAACCCGAGGTACCACTGTATTCTGTTGGAAGCCGCCCAGAGTGGCTGGGGAAACCCAGCAAGATGGGTGGGGTATAAATAATAAATTCTTCTTCTTCTTCTTCTTCTTCCTCTTCCTCTTCCTCTTTTTCCTCTTCTTCTTCCTTGATTCCCAACCAAACCAGAAATCTCCCCCAAGCGTCGCCGGCTTCGCAGAACCAAGAGCCGTCCTCTCCTCTCGCAGCCTCTTCCGCCCGCCCGCCCGCTCACTCCTGCACCCGCCGCGGTTTGCATTACGCACCCAGCGGTGCACTCTCGTCTTGTAGGTGGGCCACAGATCTGGGGGGAAAGCGGCCCCGCCCTCCCATGCTCAATTGCCACTTCTCGACTCAGTGGGAAGCTGCTGGCTGCGGCCGTCTCCATTTAAATGGAGATGTGGTCACGTCTTCCGCTGGGCAACGAAACGGCTCATGGAGAGTTATAGATCTGTTTGGATGTATGTATGCATTGCGAAAGGTAATGCGTTTCCGCTTCTAGATGCTGGGAGGCAGGGAGGATGGAGGGTCAGAGAACCCCTGGGGGGCACAGAGTCTTTCCCCTCTCCATTGGCACACAGGAATGAGAAACTTTCGGGGGCGGAAGGTATGCAAACCTTGGAACCACACAGGATTCCTTTTTTCCAAGGCTGCGATCCCATCTTCATTTTCATGTATAATATTTTTTATTGAGTTTTACACTGCACATTCAAATTCAAGCATTAAACATCACCATTGGCATTTAAAGGTAAAGGGACCCCTGACCATTAGGTCCAGTCGTGGCCGACTCTGGGGTTGCAGCGCTCATCTCGCTTTACTGGCCGAGGGAGCCGGCGTACAGCTTCCGGGTCATGTGGCCAGCATGACTAAGCTGCTTCTGGCGAACCAGAGCAGCGCACGGAAACGCTGTTTACCTTCCCACCAGAGTGGTACCTATTTATCTACTTGCACTTGACGTGCTAGGTTGGCAGGAGCAGGGACTGAGCAACGGGAGCTCACCCCGTCATCACGGGGATTCGAACCGCCGACCTTCTGATCGGCAAATCATAGGCTCTGTGGTTTAACCCACAGCGCCACCCACGTCCCACACCATCGGCATTTAGGAGTCTCTGAATCCTTAGACTCCCCCTCCACCCTTCCATGATTCCGTTGAATGGACTGAACCATCCAGGGGTCCTTTACCTTTTACCTTTTACCTGGGGAGCGGGGCACCTTTCTCTGGGCGAGGGCCGCAGTCTCAAATGGGCAGCTTTCTGGGGGCCAGAGGCAAATGGGGGCCTGGCAACGGGTGTGCTTGTTTCTCCTGAGCAGTTAAAAGCCAGAGGTTTTTCTCTCACACAAATGCATCATCCCACATCTCTCTATACCTCACACAGGTGAGCAAGAGGCCATTCTCATCATCCCAGGTGAGCAAATCGTACTCAGGAAGGATATGAATCAGGGGCGTGGGTATAGGGTGTCAGAGTTTGGCCTATACGTTGGAGAAATGGTCTCTCTCTCTTTTTTTACACAATCTTTTTTATTCTGTTTTACACTACACACTTGGTGGCGCTGTGGGTTAAACCACAGAGCCTAGGACTTGCCGATCAGAAGGTCGGCGGTTCGAATCCCCGCGACGGGGTGAGCTCCCGTTGCTCAGTCCCTGCTCCTGCCAACCTAGCAGTTCGAAAGCACAAAGTGCAAGTAGATAAATAGGTACAGCTCCGGCGGGAAGGTAAACGGCATTTCCGCCCTGCTCTGGTTCGCCAGAAGCAGCTTAGTCCTGCTGGCCACATGACCCGGAAGCTGTACGCTGGCTCCCTCGGCCAATAAAGCGAGACGAGCGCCGCAACCCCAGAGTTGGTCACGACTGGACCTAATGGTCAGGGCTCCTTTACACTACACACTTAAATTCCAAACATTAAACACCACCATCGGCATTTAGGTTTCCCATAATCCTTACACTCCCCTCCAGCCTTCCATGGCTTCTATTTTCAATCTTTTTCAACTGCCTCGCATATTTTCTCTATTTTTCTCTAATAATCCATTCTTTTACCTTCGTTTTTAATACATTGCAAGCATTTCTCAAACCCTGCCAAAGTTTTCAGTTGTTTACAGTGTTCTCTTAAGTGCATTGTGAATTTCCCCCATTCCTTATTAAAATCCCTCTCTTCCTGGTTTCTGATCTTCCCGGTCATTTTCGCCATTTCAGCATAATCCATCATCTTCATCAGCCTCTTGTCTCTGGTTGGGACTTTATCTTCTTTCCAGTTGTGGGCCAAGGTGCTAGGGGCTAGACCTCGAAGTCCACCTTATTTTTTGTGTGGGTGGTGCTGTGGTCTAAGCCACTGAGCCTCTTGGGTTTGCCGATCAGAAGGTCGCCGGTTCAAATCCCCATGACGGAGTGAGTTCCCATTGCTCTGTCCCAGCTCCTGCCAACCTAGCAATTCGAAAGCACACCAGCGCAAGTAGATAAATAGGTACCACTGAGGCGGGAAGGTAAATGGCATTTCCGTGCGCTCTGGTTTCCGTCATGCGCCAAAAGCAGTTCAGTCCTGCTGGCCACATGACCCGGAAAGCTTTCTGCAGACAAATGCCGGCTCCCTCATCCTGAAAGCGAGATGAGCGCTGCAACCCCATAGTCGCCTTTGACACGACTTAACCATCCAGCGGTCCTTTACCTTTAGCTTTTTTACCTTATTTTTTGTCACTGTTCCCCCCTTAAATCCTCTCCCCGCCTTCTCCTTTTTTTTCTTTTTTTCCTGCCACCCCCTTCGCCCCTTCTCTTCTTGCCATCCCCCCTCTCTGTCTTTTCCGCCCCCCGCTTCGCCCCGTCTCTTCCAGCCACCCTTTCCCTCTTAATTCCCCCTCGTCTCCTTCCCACCCACATGTAATTAAGCCAAGCGCCATACTTGCCCCCCCCAGGGATACAGACCCCCCCACCCCTCAATCTATGGGAAAAGAGTCTATTGGAGGGTGCGAAGGAGGATAATATGGGGTTCATCCAGGAACGCCATTTTCAGGGACGACAGTCCTCAGGACGCAGAGGGTGGGAAGAAACTGGGGGGGGGCATTAGACGAGATCGGCCAAAGAAGGGGGCGGGGCAGAAGAAACGGCAGTCTCAGAAAGCAATTAGTTATGGTGTCTTAAGGAGCCCGGTACACCCCCTTCCGAATCTGAGATACCATCGCCTGATTTCCCTGCTTTGACTAAGCCCCTAATCTCCCAGATAATCTGTCTCAAAAAATGCAAAATACATATATATATATAAAGAGAGAGAGAGAGCTAGCTAGAGTTGGCCTGTGAATGCAACACCTGAGGGGGCGCCGAAAACGATTCTCCCCCCACACACTACTTTACTAATCACCTACTGTTGCCACTTTATTAATTTTAAGAGGTGCTCGGTTTAATCTTGTAAAAAGGTAATGGGAAGAGGTAAGATTAGGCCGACCACGTGGACGTTTCGGGCACTCGGGGCTTCTCCGCAAGAGGCAGAGCTGTTTCATAGATATTGTGTGGAATCTTAGATCTGGAAGGGCCCTCCAAGGATCATCCAGTCCAACCCAAGAATTCGCAGCTGCCGAACCTGCAAACTTGGCGTTGCCTTCACCGTGCTCTAATCGACAGAGCTGTCCGGCTGTCGGCAGTAGGAATTGCCAGAAGGCCGGTGGCTCTGGGGTGCTTGAGCCTCAGGGCACCAGCAGCTGTGAATTTCTCTGCCACGGCGACGTTTCAAATATGGATTTCCCGGCTCTTAAGTGGAAATGGATGCGGCTGGCGCTGTGAGTTAAACCACAGAGCCTAGGGCTTGCCAATCAGAAGGTCAGCGGTTCGAATCCCCGCAATGACAGGGTGAGCTCCCGTTGCTCAGTCCCTGCTCCTGACAACCTAGCAGTTCGAAAGCACGTCAAAGTGCAAGTAGATAAATAGGTACCGCTCCGGCGGGAAGGTAAACGGCGTTTCCGTACGCTACTCTGGTTCGCCAGAAGCGGCTTAGTCCTGCTGGCCACATGACCCAGAAGCTGTACGCCGGCTCCCTCGGCCAGTAAAGCGAGATGAGCGCCGCAACCCCAGAGTCGGCCACGACTGGACCTAACAGTCAGGGGTCCCTTTACCTTTAAGTGGAAATGTCACACTGAGAAATATTTCGTTAAACGAATTCTGAATGCTGTTCTGCACGCATCAGGGTGGTTCGCAGTGACAGGGCAGCTGCCTTGAGTGCAGAAGGCGCCAAGTTCAGTCCCCAGCAGCACTGGACTTCGGCTTCTGAAAAACATTCGCAAACTGGAATTCTTACTTCCGGTTTTGTGGCGTTCGGGAACCAAGCCGTTCGAGTACCAAGGTACCACTCAGGGCTGGATTTTGGTTCGAGAAGCCCCTAAGCTACTGAAGGTATTGGGGCCCTTTCTATGTCCAGCTGTCCTTTGTCAACAACAAATGGTTGCCGTTTTTTGTGTTGAATATATGCTACATGGTTATTTAGGGACCTCATAGGTATCTCAAGCCATAAATAAAGCGCTCATCTCGCTTTATTGGCCGAGGGAGCCGGCATACAGCTTCTGGGTCATGTGGCCAGCAGGACTAAGCTGCTTCTGGCGAACCAGAGCAGCGCACGGAAATGCCGTTTGCCTTCCTGCTGGAACGGTACCTATTTATCTACTTGCGCTGGTGTGCTTTCGAACTGCTAGGTTGGCAGGAGCAGGGACCGAGCAACGGGAGCTCACCCCGTCGTGGGGATTCGAACCGCCGACCTTCTGATCGGCACATGCTAGGCTCTGTGGTTTAACCCACAGCACCACCCGCGTCCGGCAGGACAGCTTACTCTATGGCATTAACCCTTTCATGCATTGATTGGACTCATGCAGGTTATATGACGCTGGTGACGTTCCTTAACCTCTGCTTTTCCCTCCCCCTGCAGGTTCCACCAGGGCGACTACACTGTGGAGGTGAGCATCAACGACTACCTGGACATCTACTGCCCTCACTACGAGCTCCCGTTCCCCATGGACCACATGGAGAGATACATCCTCTACATGGTCAACTATGAGGGCCACGACTCCTGCGACCACCGCCAGAATGGCTTCAAGCGCTGGGAGTGCAACCGGCCCGACTCGCCCAACGGGCCGCTGAAGTTCTCCGAGAAGTTCCAGCTCTTCACCCCGTTTTCGCTGGGCTTTGAATTCCGACCGGGGCATGAGTATTACTACATATGTAAGTACTGGGGACACGGGTGGCGCTGCGGGCTAAACCACTGAGACTAGTTGGGCCTCCCCTTTGGCCTGATCCTCTGTGACATCAGAACAGCTAAGCCAATAGCAGCCGGAGAGGCTGTGTGTCTCTTTGCGTGTGTTGTGATTTCCTGAGAGGTCTTTCAGGACCGGTAGGTCTTTCAGGAAAAGGGACGCGGGTGGTGCTGTGGGTTAAACCACAGAGCCCAGGGCTTGCGGATCAGAAGGTCGGCGGTTCGAATCCCCGCCGGGTGAGCTCTCGTTGCTCGGTCCCTGCTCCTGCCAACCTAGCAGTTCAAAAGCACGTCAAAGTGCAAGTAGATAAATAGGTACCACTCCGGTGGGAAGGTAAACGGCGTTTCCGTGCGCTGCTCTGGTTCGCCAGAAGCGGCTTAGTCCTGCTGGCCACATGACCCGGAAGCTGTACGCCAGCTCCCTCGGCCAATAAAGTGCGATGAGCGCCGCAACCCCAGAGTTGGCCATGACTGGACCTAACGGTCAGGGGTCCCTTTACCTAGGTATTTCAGGACCGGGGTTATATGGTCTTGGCAGCCGCTCCCAGTCCCCAGTCTGACAGCCGCATTCTGGATTAGTTGTACTTTCCAGGTCAGCCCCACATAGAGCGCATGGTAGTAGTCCAAGAGGGAGATAACTAGAGCATGCACCACTCTGGCCAGACAGTCTGTGGGCAGGGAGGGTCTCATCCTGTGTACCAGATGGACCAGGTAGACAGCTGCCCTGGTCACAGAATTGACCTGCACCTCCATGGACAGCTGTGAGTCCAAAATGACCCCCAGGCTGCGCACCTGGTCCTTCTGGGGCACAGTGACCCCATTCAGGACCAGGGAGTCCTCCACACCTGCCCCCTGTCCATTTAAGGCTTGAAAGTTCATCACCAACACTTTGAATTGTGCTCGGAAACGTCCTGGGAGCCAATGTAGGTCTTTCAGGACTGGTGTTATATGGTCTCAGCGGCCGCTCCCAGTCCCCAGTCTAGCTGCCGCATTCTGGATTAGTTGCAGTTTCCGGGTCACCTTCAAAGGCAGCCCCACGGAGAGCGCATTGCAGTAGTCCAAGCGGGAGACAACCAGAGCATGCACCACTCTGGCCAGACAGTCTGTGGGCAGGGAGGGTCTCATCCTGCGTACCAGATGGAGCTGCCCTGGACACAGAACTGACCTGCGCCTCCATGGACAGCTGTGAATGCTTTTGAATGTCATTTGCTACAAACCACAGGGGGAGAGAGTTGCTCTGGGGCTCAGAAACATGCTTGTGGGCTTCCCTTGGGGGGGGACTCTTGTTGGCCACCCATGCTGGACGGGCCCGATCCACCAGGTCTCTCTCCTTACATTCCCCGAGCTCTTCCTCCGAGCTGCGTTTCGAAAAGACAGCAAAATCGGAAGCGGCGACGTAGCCAATTTAAGCGTCCTGATTGCACCGCCGATCCTAAACCAAAGCAATCTCAGGGACCGGTTTAATTAGCCGGCGTGACTCTATTTAACCTCCGGCGGCGGCTCGGGAGCGCCGAACACCCAAAGACCCATCTGGCGGGGCCACATTCCGAAGATAATAATGAAAATAAACCGATATGAGAGAGAGAGAAAGGCCCTTTGCAACTCATCCGTTTCCCCCCTTGCAATCACGCCCATCGTGGCAGCTGGGGGAGGGGAGGGTGGCGGGACAGCAGCGCTCAAGATGATTCTGTTCCCAGACCATGTTTCAGCTTGTAAATGATTTGAACTCAGCCCTCCCGCCGGGACCTGTGGCCCGGCTCGGCTACCAGGGAGGAAAAATAATCAAACGTTCGAAATTAGCTTCCCGGACCACCCATTAAGAAAGCCCCTGATTTAAGAGTCTTCATTTATCTTCATTTTCTTTTCTTGGTAAAGAAGGAAAGGGAGCAGTGGCGAGAGAGGGAGGATACTGGCTTTGAGCCTTCCTGAAAATGGCAAGGGCAAGAAACCTGGCCGTGAAAAGGCTCCTGGTGACTCGCTGTGCCTGGGGAGTTTGGGACACGGTTGGCACTGTGGTCTAAACCACTGAGCCTCTTGGGCTTGTGTGTGGTGGCCTGGGACCCGGTGTGCTGGTCCCGTGGGTTTCCGTGAGGCGTGGTGTGAGTCCACAGTATTTAGGGTACAGTATTGAGGCCGTCCGTCAAAGCTGAAGCTGGGTCCAAGGCAGGGAGTCGGGCGAGGTCAGGAGATCCGGCAGGACAGGGTTCCGGCAGGAACAGGCTACCAACAACGTTGCTCCCGCAACCTGGGACTGGGGCTGGCTGGCTTTTATCTGCCCTGAGGCATTAGGGCAGCCCCGATCCTCAGGTGACTCGCCTCTCCTGGCCTGGAGGCGAGCACTCCTCCTGCGGGAACTTAGTTCCCTCCGCCTCTCTGCCCTGAGCCTCTGCAGCTCAGGAGAGGCTGGAGGGTTACCAGACCCAGAGGCAACCTCAGCTTCCTCTGACGGGGCTGAGAGTGGAGCACCTGCAGGCAATGGGTCCTCCATCACCTCAGGAGCCAGGGCAGACTCACCTGTGGACCCAGCACAGGTGAGGACCCTTCAGGCTCAGGCCCCAGCCCCGGCTCAGCTGGTTCTGGAGGCGGGGACTCCTGTGCAGGCTGGGATTCCTCAGGTTCAGCCTCTGAGTCCGAATCCCAGGCCATCACACTTGAGCTCGGACTCGGAACCGGATGAGTCTCGGTCCGCACCAGATCCTCTGCCTCAGGCAGCATTTGAACAGAGTCTGGGGCCTGATTCTGAAGAGCCCCAGTCTGCACAGGTTCCCCTGCAACAAGCACCAGCTGGGCCGAGTCAGGGGCCTGATCCTGCCCTGACTCCAGATGCAGGGATTACCTCATTGCCTTCAGCTGGGCCATCACTCCACTACCGGTTGGGTCAGGGGAGGCTGAGGCGGCCCCTGGGTCTAGTAACCCACCGACGTCTCCCGAGCTACAGACTGAGGTCTGAGAGAAGGAGAGACCTGAGTACTCGCAGGAGGAGTGCTCGCCTTCGGGAGAGACAGGGAGGTGAGTCGCCGGGGGATCGGGACCGGCCGTTACCCCGTCAAAGATAAAAGGCTGCCGGACCCTGCCCCAGGTTGCGGGAGCAACATTGCTGCTTGCTGGAACCCTGTACCTGACCTAGCCTGGTTTCGTGCCTTGGCCCTGTTGGACTGACTCCTCATGGTGTGATGGCCTGGGAATCCGATTCAGAGGATGAACCGGAGGAATCCCAGCCGGCACAGGAGTCCCCGCCTCCAGGGCCGGCTGAACTGGGGCAGGGCCTTGATTCTGAGGCGCCTGCACCTGTGCCGGATCCTCAGGAGCAGGCACCAGGTGAATCCATTCTGGCTCCAGAGGTGGTTGAGGACTCGGTGCCTACAGGTGAGTCTCCCCCTGGGCCCAGTAACCCTCCAGCCTCTCCTGAACTGCAGATGCTCAGGGCAGAGAGGCGAAGGGAACTGGTTTCTCCCAGGAGGAGTGCTTGCCTTAAGGCCAAGAGAGGCGGGTCTCCTGGGGGCCGGGACCACCCCTGGCCTCAGAGAAGACCAGTCAGCCCGGTCCCAGGTTGCGGGAGCAACGTCGTCGTTGAGTACCTGCTCCTGTCCGGACCCAGACCTGACCCTCCAGTGTTCCTGTCCCCACTTGGCTTCCTGCTTCGGACCTCGCCCTGCTTCTTGCGAACTGCTTCCAGGCTAGTGACCCAGGACCGGACTTTGACTACGTCAACGGTAACCTTCCCCCCGGGACCAGCACACATGGGATCTTTGGATTCGGGAACGGACCTGGACCGCGTTGCTCGGGTTAACCCCCAGGCCCAGCACATTGTGGACCGGAAGGTCGGCGGTTCGAATCCCTGCGGCGGGGTGAGCTGGGGGACCTGTGGTTTCTCCTGCTTGCACTGCTGTGACGTCAGAGCAGCTAAGCCAATAGGAGCCAAGGAAGCCATCTTTCCCCCCCCCTCCCGACACAGGCGTGCTTGACATCACAGCAGCTAAGCTAGTAACAGTCAGAGAGGATGTAACAGCGCTTAACGCAGGCCTACTGTGGCGTCAGCTAAGCCAATAAAGGCTGGAGGGGTTGTGATTTCCCTTGCCGGTAGCCTGCTGTGACATCAGAGCAGCTAAGCCAATAACTGTTGAGAGAGGTGGAGACGAGGGCAACCGAAACCATCAAGAGATTTTCAGTTCAGGGAAGTGGCAAGGGAAGGCAGTTGTCGAGGAAGCCATAGTTGACAGCTGTGCTGGGGGGGGAGGCAGCGGGCAGACAGCATGGGGCCTATGGGCGCCCAAGACACATAGCTTGGGCGCCCTGAAGGCCCCGCAGTGAATGCCGCCCGCCATTTTGTCACACACACCCCTTAGTGGGGACGCCCAGTGCAGACCGCACCTACCGCACACACACCCTCGCTATGCCCCTGAGTGAAGGTCCGGGGAAAATGATATGAAATCATTTCTGGCGTGGAGAAAGCAGAACGCGAGAATAATAATAATAATTTATTATTTGTACCCCGCCCATCTGGGTGGGTTTCCCCAGCCACTCTGGGCGGCTTCCACAAAGACCAAAAATACACATTAAAAGCTTCCCTGAACAGGGCTGCCTTCAGATGTCTTCTGAATGTCAGGTAGTTGTTTATCTCTTTGACATCTGATGGGAGGGCGTTCCACAGGGCGGGCGCCACCACCGAGAAGGCCCTCTGCCTGGTTCCCTGTAGCTTTGCTTCTCGCAATGAGGGAACCGCCAGAAGGCCCTTGCAGAACGATGGGGGTGGAGACGCTCCTTCAGGTCTACTGGGCCGAGGCCGTTTATTGGAACATTGGAACTAAGCCGAACATTGGAAGATTCAAGGCAGAAACAAGGAAGTCCTTCTTCACGCAGCTCAGATTTCAACTGCGGAACTCCCTGCCACAAGAGGCAGGCATGGCAACCCACTTGGATGGCGTTAAAAGCTGGTTGGGCAAGGCTTTCAACGGCCGCTGGGTCACGA